TGAAATTAAGGATAAAAAGCAACTTCAAAGATTTTTAGGATGCTTAAATTATATCCATGATTTTTTCAAAGATTTAGGGATTATATGTAAACCACTTTATAACAGATTAAAAGATAATCCTGAACCATGGACTCAAAAACATACAGATATAATTAAATATATAAAACAAAAGGTTCCTACTTTGCCATGTTTAAATTTACCTCATCCCAATGCCAATATCATAGTTGAAACCGATGCTAGTGATATTGGATTCGGAGGAATTCTAAAACAAAAATTTGTTAATTCAAAAGAAGAACAATTGGTTCGATATTACTCTGGTGCATGGAATGATACACAAAAAAATTATTCAACTGTCAAAAAAGAAATTTTAAGCATTGTTTTATGTATTAAAAAATTTGAAGATGATTTATTTATGAAAAGTTTTTTATTAAGAATAGATTGTCAATCTGCAAAAACTATTTTAGAAAAGGATGTGAAAAATATTATTTCCAAACAAATTTTTGCTCGATGGCAAGCCCTTTTAGGAAACTTTGATTTCGAAATAGAATTCATAAAAGGCGAAAATAATTCGCTTCCTGACTTTCTTTCTCGAGAATTTTTGCAGGGAAAATGAGTTCATCGTCCTCTTCCAAACATGATGACAAGAAACCCGTCTATCAAAAGCTTGTTCCATTTCAAAATCAAAATCGTTTTTCTCCTTTAACCCCTACTTCTAAGAACTCACAACTTTATTCTAATATCCTTCAATCAAAACTTGTTACTCCAAAAGTTACTTCAACAAACACGATAAGCCCTTTTGTAAGACCTTTTACTCCTCAAACTCAAAATTCTGTGACTCCTAGCCCTCCTACAAAAACTCCTTATGTTCTTAATCCAAATTTCTTAAGAGTTCAAATTCTTGAAGATTTTCAAATCCATAAGTTACATCAAGGTTTTCATATTCTCACAAATCATCTTTTTGGTCAAGGGAAAACCTTTTATGTTGATTCATATAAAACTCGAGAATATTATCAAGCTATTTTGCAAGAGTCTGGTTCGGTCAATTTTGTTCATCGTTCTAATTCAAAAGAAGGAAACATTGATTTTAGCAAAGCTCGCATCATCAAAATCATTTCTCCAGAAAGTTGGGTTCCAAACCTTCATTCTGAAAAACCTCTTATAAGTTATCCTGCTTATCCCAGATTTTCTTACTATGATTATCAAGATGCCTGGACTAAGGCGTTCTTTATTCGAAATTATTCACACTCATGGTTTATCTTCTTTGATTTAAACTTCAATTGTGAATACCCAAGATGGTTTATCAATTGGTATAAATATATGGGAATTCTTCCAAATTGTTTACCAAAAGAAATTTACGATGGATATCTCAAATTTAAGGAATTGTTTATTCAACAAATTCCAGAATTTGAATATATGCTACAATTCACTATGATATTCAGAGTTCCATGGATAATGTCTTGGACTTTTCATTATCAATAAGCAAAGGATACCTCTCCTCCCTGGCTTAATCGACAATTTCGCTCAAAATGGTGGGATAAAATGAAGATTTCTCAAGCCAGTGAACAAGCAGTAATTAAATATTATCAAGAAATATATATTCAAAAATCGGAGGTTGAAGCCACTTTTATCAAAAGTCTTCCTCAAAGTGATGTGGATTTAATTTCAAGAATTAAAGATGCTGCTACCTCTTCTCCTGAAGAACTTCAAAACTTACTTCAAGAAATCCGCCAAACTCCATCAGTTTCTGATGATTCTCCAAAATCTTTAAAGAATGGTTTATTTCAAGACGCTCAAGACCCTTTTGATGATCCTTATGAAGAATAAGAAATTCTTATCATTAAATTTGGTGTAATACCTTCAATGTAGGGTATTTCGTTTCTTCTATTTATCAAATTCATTATTTTCAAATACGAGTGAGTATATACTGTGTGATTATACACTATATGTATTTATAGTGTATAAAAAAAACAAATATTATCAAATTTATTATCAAAATTAATTTGTTCTCATCATCAATAATTATATGAAGACAAAAAACTTTACAAGATGCTCTATGATGGATAATATGAAGACAAAAAACTTTAGAAGATGCTCTATGAAGACATGCTTTATCAAAAGGTGATATTTATTGATTACAAACGACAATTTCTTCAAAAAGATGAAAGTGACAACCACTTAAAAATAATTGATTGGCCACTGAATCTTACGGCAAGATTTCACTACAAGATTTCAAGGTTTTGAAGACTTCAAAAGCAATATAAATAGACATCATGTGTTAGTGGAAGAAGGCAGGCAAAAAATATTCATTCTCTAAAAAATGTTCATTCTATGTCTAAAAAATCTCCAAGAGTCTCTCTTTCTACTAGCAGATGTTCAAAGTCTCTAGATTTTCAGATAATTCTTTCTCCAGATGTATGTACTGATTGTAATTCAAGCTTAATTCAAGAAGGTATTATCTAAAATATTTTATTCAATTGTTGTATTGCTTCTATTTCTCCATGATAATTTCATTTCGAGTTGTTCTAACCATTAATTCTACAAGATTTGAAATATTTGTTAAAATAGTAGTCGTTTTTAATAATCAAATTAATCAAATTCATGCTTGAATTATTTAAATATGTTTAATAAAATCTTGATGAATTGTATTCCTAATAAAGATATTCTTGTAAGAATACAACAAATCCAAGAATCTATAAATAATTCTGAGCAAAATCTCAAGGATTCTTACAAACCTAATAATCTAGGTACGATTTTAAACAATAATCATATTCATGATGTTAGACAGTTCATAAAAGCTAGTATTAAAATTCGTTACAAGCAAATACGTTATCTAAAAGCAAAACTATTTGTATTTTAATATGAAATTTATTTGTATATGAAATTCTATGTCTTTTAACTTTTCATTGATAAAATGGTATAATATATATATATATATATATATAATATATTATATATATATATATATATATATCTATATATATAATTATATATATATATTATATTAGTTGGTACGGTATTACCATTTTATTCAAAGTTTTGTACCATTACCAACTAAGATTGCTTAATTGATACAGTACTACTAACATCTTGGCTACCAAACATATTGGCTACCAACTTTCTTGTTTCGGTTGGTTGATTTTCCATGGTATAATTTTGACTATCCTAAGCATTTATTCTTTTTGTCTTTGATATATATTTTTAAATTCTAAAAATTATTATCGTCGTCTTAATATATTGGTCCACGAACAACACAGGGTGATCCGAACTAAATTTTTCTTACAAACAATTACATAAGTGTGTATTGTATTTTAGAAAATGTTTTTCTGTATTTATACATTTTTCTATAGAACTATTTCTTATATATTTGTTTTTGTTTTAATTTTTTTATGAATAATTATGTGTGTTTGTGTGTAGGTTTTATCCGGTGGGTATAAAAATCGCCAAGAAAATAATAACACCTGATAGTTTGGATTAAAAAATAACACAGTGATAGTACGTACAAAAAAATGGCATATGGATAGTTTGAACGAAAAAATGACAAAATGAAATTCCAAACGAAAAAAATAACAAAATGATAGTCAAAACGAATAAAATAACACATTAATAGTTCGAACGAAAAAAAAAACGGGTAGTCAAAACAAAAAGAATAACACAGTGGTGGTCGAAAAAAAAAACACATAGATAGTACAAACGAAAAAATAACAGAAGCATAGTCCGAACGAAAACATAGCATGCGGATACCGAACGAAAAAATAGCATGCGGATAATATGACCAAAAACTACAACGTAATGATAGACTGAACAAAAAAAAATAAATAAACCGTGATAGTCTGTATGGAAAAAATAACGCAAAATAGTCCGAATGAACAAAAAATATATTTTTAATTTTAATAACAATAATATATATTTATTAAATATATTAAAAAAAACACATAAATGACAAAACATCATTTCAAATGGGGTAAACTAAGCAATTTGGGAGGTATAAAAAGAAAATCGACTATTTAATAATTAGTTGGTGGTTGATAAAAAATAACATTTAGTAAAACTAGATGACAAGATAGTCGCCAATGTAAAATAATATAAAATAACATAAAAAATAATTAAATATTAAAAAAAGACTAAATAAAAGTTTTCTAATTATTTATGTTTAAAAAAACCAAAATCTTGTTTTCTATGTAATAATTTTATATTTTTCATATAATCGTAGTAATATAATATAATAAAATATACATTATGATAAAATTAAATATTATGAATTACAGTTGGTTTTGTGATAAATAGGTTTACTGAAACATATTTTTCAAATGTAACTATTGAAAATAGTTAAATACGAATTAATGCAATGATTTCTATTTCTTATGTTAAAATAACCATTTTCAATAAAGACTTATGTCTTATGTAGTTGGCCATATATGTAATGGTTAAAAGTTGGTGTGTCATGTTTATTTGTTTAAATTGCTTTTACTTATCATTTTCTTTTTCAATTAGTCATGTGACCTATGTTTATTGTTATTTGCATATAAGTTAAATAGAATAATTGGCTTGAAAATATCAACATAATTCGTGATAATAATAATAATAATAATAATAATAATAATAATAATAATAATAAGGTAGAAATTATAAATAATGTTAAATGTTACATGGCAGGTATGTAACATTTTGTAGCCTATTCCATTTTCCTTGAATCGATTTGCTTACTAATTACGTTACTGTTTCATCCTTTGATTTATTCTAGAAAGTATATGAATTCACCGGCATTTTCTTCTTCAGAATTCTTTTGGGCTTTTTGGATTCATTGTATCTACTTTAGGATTTCATGTTCTTTAAAAACTAGCAACATACTTATATTGGTTTGTTTATGATATCATTCTACTTTCATTTCCTCGTATTATAGCAGCCTACTTATATTGGTTTGTAAGAGATCCTAGTTTTATTATATTAGTGCATAATCTTGCAAGAACTCCTAGTGATAAATAGAGATGCATATGTTGAACTTCTTGTTGCTGTTATACACATAAGGAGAAAATGAATGAGCAGTAGTTATTAGCACAACACGAATGAAAAGAATTCATTCACGAAATTTACAAAAAATTTAATACTGAAGAGAAATATATATTATTCTTTATATGAAAATGGAAGAAACAAAGATGTTCATTCATCTTTCACAGTAAATGAAGTTAATTACCCTTTGATCATAATGCCTCAATAAACACTCTCTAGTCATCATCCTTGAATTCTCTGGCAATGCAAATCATAATCATCATGAGTTACAATAAACCAAATTATATACCATTTTTTCACATTTACATACACTAATAGAAGTCTCTACCATAAAATACAATTAAAAACACATATTTTCACCATTTTATCGATTTAGCCGGTTTAAAAAGACCATTTTCTCATTATAAAACATCACCAACAAAAGCAAAAAGTATCTTTTTATGGGTAAATTACATTTTTGATCCATGTGTTTATGATTCTGGTCCCTAAAGGAATCTATTTGCAACTTTGGTCCTTATTTTGATGTTTATAACGATTTTCGTCTATCTCCCAAGTGAAATTACTATACTTCCCTTCATCTTTTTTTTTTTTTTTTTTTTTTTTTCAATATATATGTTTTTTTGAATTTATATTGTTATAAACAAAATATATTTAATAAAAAAAACTATATGAAGGGCAATGTAGTCATTTTACCTGCGGTCAAGGTATCTGGGTTGAATGCCACTGCCTTGACAAGTGGTGCAGGTCAAAGAACCAGCACCATCACAGTTTATGCATCTTGAGACTTCATTTTCACCACCTCCAAGCGCCACTGTTACATTACCACTTCCTGTGCAAAATCTGCATGACTCTGCAACAACAACAATAAACACACAACTTTCACATCCATCCAGATTAGCATTAACAATAGGCTAATCAATTCTTCATAAAAATTACATTTTTTTATGCACTTTTTTTTACCAATTTGGGAAACGAAAGCATAAATTGGTAAAGAGCGACTTACGTGCCCCAGTTCCACTGCAGGGGAAGCATGGCTGCGTGTTATCTCGTTTTGCCTGCACCACATACATTTTTCTCCAAATATTCAATTTAGATTCGGTTTTCAATACTACTAAGTACTAATACCATATTTATCATCACTTTGAGAATCATCTTCAAAATAATAGGTCATAGCATGTAAATCCTATATCATCTCTTATAAGTTAGGGTTATTACCGCAATTTCAATATTTCATAATTATATGCCTAATAATTAAGTTACAACATATTTCGGTATATTTGGACATTAGTTAAAACGAACACAATCCAAGCGTAATTCTCTTATAGATAAACAATAAATTGGCAAAGTGGCAGCATTTGGGGCTAATCCAATCGAAAAAAACCATCCACAAATCAAACGAAAATGAAAGAACAATGATGAAACGAATTACCGCGTTATCAATTTGAGATTCGTAGAAAATGGGTAAACCAATTCCAGCAGCGACGCTCATCACCCCAACCGCTACTGCCACCACCTACCGCCACCAACAAAAGCTCAGTGTAATCAAAGCGTAGCATAAAACTTAGTTATTTGACCAAATTGTATTAGAAATCATGATGCTGTTACTAAGGAATCAAAAATTAGAAACAAACCGTGTTCTGGTCGAGCTCGGCTTTGATGAGGTGAGGGTAAGAAGCAGGGGAGCGTTGATTTCTTGAACATTTGAAGGAAAGCGAGTGAAAATGAGAAGACGATGAAGAAGAAAGCTTCGATGGAGAAGAAGGTGAGAGGAATGGAGAGCGAAGGGAAGTTGCAGATGACATTTTTGCTGCGTTTCTGGCCCTCCCCGAATGTCAAAAATCAACCATCACAGAAGAATCTGTCATCCACCATCAACGTTGGAGGGAGTTTGGATCATGTGGGGTCAGACCAATTTTCAAACCAGATACATTTGCACCTCAATTCAAGTGTAAAAACAAGTTATATATTCATTTTAGACCATATTTTTCAAACTTAAATCACGCTTTAACCATATTTTTCTTAAAAAAAAACACCGATATTACCGAAATGTTCCAAAATAATGTTTTCGAAAACAATGATTGTAATACCTCTATATATAAAGTTCAAATATTTTCATAATAAACACCACTTTGAAATCTTTTTTTCAAAATTTCTCTTTATATATAATCAACGGGCTAATGCCCTAAAAACCCTCAAATTTTCAAGAAATGTTCGGTTATATCCTAAGTCCATTTTTATATCCACAGAAACCGCACATATTGATAAAAATTGTCGTAATTGCCATCTTTTCCGATTTTACCCTTCTATGGCATTAGGGGGTGTTTGGTTACAGATCAACACATGTTAACGGATGTTTGGCATCAGGGGATGTTCCGACGACCTGCAACTTCTAGCGACCCTTCGTAGTCGCTCGTCATCAGCGACCACCAATCGAGGGGAAAAGGAAACAACGACGGGGTGGATCGGGAAAAGCACCTCTAGTGCTCGCCTGCTTTGAAGAAAAAGAAGAAGAATTGTGCTCCTAACGATCACCTCGTCCTCCTTCCTGCTAAAAGAACCGCCGTCAACCACCACACCTGAAACTCATATTCAAATCTGAAATCTAACCTTAAAATTATATTCAAACCTGAAATCACATGAAATCAAATATCAAAAGCTCATCTGAAATCAAACCTCAAAACCAAACATAAAAGTAAAAAACACTAAAAATCAACGATTGTGTGCATTTCTGGTTAGCCCAAGGAAATCACAAACAAGTCGTGGATACAAGGAAATGGAAGAGGGGCGACAAGATTAGGGCATCTTTGTCATTAGTTATCACGCCACCATCATCTCCTCTGTTATGTTTTTCTGTCAACATCTGCGCAAGAACAACCATGACGTTTTAAAGATCATCATATCTTTTCATCTATCTAGACACCATCTGGAATCATCCTCTTTACTAAAGAAAAGAGGATTCCTCATGCCCTTCGTTTAATTTCGATTTTGGATTTCCTCGTATTTGAAAGCAAATACAGCTTCAACACAAACCCAGGAAAAAAACCCAGCTCTGAAACTTTAATAATCAAATGAAATCAGATTTGCATATGGCCATCAAACCCTAATCAAGTCCACCAACTAATATGGGGATTAAGTAGAGAGAATAAGAGCTATAGAATTGGCCTACGGTAGCAAACCTGATTGTTCTCCGGTGATTTCTTCGAAGCAGACGATGAGCACTGGAGGTGCTTTCCCAAACATCCCCTAATGCCAAACATCCCTTAACATGTGTCGATCTATAACCAAACACCCCTTAATGTGAAGGGTAAAATCGGAAAAGAGGGCAATTATGACAATTTTTGCCCAAATATGCGGTTTTTGTGGACATAAAAATGGACTTAGGATATAACCAAATAATTCTTGAAAAATTGAGGGTTTTTATGGCATTAGCCCATAATCAACATGTTCGAAACTTGTAAATATTTGTAAATGTTATTATTTAACCGGTTTTCACAAATAGAAATAAGCTTTCCTCGGATTCTTTAGCTTTTTGGACTACCATCAACAATGAAGGTTGAAGCCGGGGACAAGTTATTTGTTAACATTCTGCATACAACTTTGGTGTTGACATGGTATGTGGCGAAAAATCTCTTGGTATTTATTAACGGACTGATGAGCCCCTCTTGCTATTCACTCATTGAATAGTGAGAGTTTTGTTGATGTCTCGTAAGATGTTTCAAGAAAACCGACATCTATTATATATCTCATTCTTTGATGATAGGTTTTGTCGAAAACTAATCTTTTATGTGGGTGATCAAAATCAAAAGATAGAATTATTTTATATTTTTTTAAGACAACGATATAGATTATGTACAAAACGTATAAAACTTTCTTTAAAGATAAAAATAATGAGATTATGTAATTAAGTAGTATGTGATAACTTGTATTTTTTTAAAGTAAATTCTTTATACGAAACAAATGTCAAATATTAAAAATAATAACTTATAAAAAACATAATATTATTGAAACTAATGCGTACATATCACAACTGTTCATTTAACAACAATTTCTTTAAAAATCTATGAATGACTAACTACTTCTTGGACGATGGCAACTACATGAAAGATTAGTCTTCAACATACTTTCACCCAAGTTTCCATCGAACAAATAAATAGATACAGATTCTTAACTTTGGTAGCCATGATGTCTCCTCTACCGTCCGGCATCAGCCAACATCTAGTTGGTTAACAAGTTGTTTCTTGGCTTTATGTCATCTTCCAACTATTTGTCAAATCATATGTGAAAACCTACATGTGAAGCTCTTTAATGAGGAGAGAGTCATTCTCTTCCAACTCACTCAACTCACTGCCACATTAATTTTTCTCTTTCGTCTCTCTTCCATCTTTCTCAACTCATAACACTCGTCTCTCTTCCATCTTTCTCAACTCATAACACATGGAAACACTATATTTCTCAACCCACTTGCCACATCATTCTTTTTTTATTTAATTAATTTAGAAAATATAAAATAAAATAAAACATAACATTTCTTCGTTTAAAAAATAAACTTTTGCTAATTTAAAAAAAATCTAATATAATATTAAAAATAACATTTAATTAAAAAACCACATTACAAATAAAAAAATACACGATAACTAAAAAACACACTTAAAAAGACAAAATAATTAAAATCTCAATACACTAAAATTAACTAGCTATCTAGAGTTGAAATGTAGACACATAAGATCAAATCAAAGCTGGTGGTGGGTTTCAACATTGCGCAATTCATGTACTATTTTTGGGTCATCGACTTCGTTGTTGGGGAGTCGGGCTAATGCACAAGAGATATCGCAACACCCTCATCTTTCAGTATCATATTGTGCAATATAATATAATTGTACATTATATTTTTTTGTTTTCTTCACTGTCATAGCCCGTGCCGACATTTTTAATATGTCACAACGTCCTTTAAGGACCCCAAAAGCACGTTCTACGTCATTTCTTGTTGATTCTTGTGTCGTTTTGAACCGTTGAAAGCGTTATATTTTTTTTGTAGGTCATTCCATTTTGATGCAGTTGAAAGCATTAAATTTCTTTTTGCAGATCTTTCCATTTTGAGTTTACTTGGTTCCGTGACCGATCCAAACCTCCCATTTGAACATTAAAATGTTCTAGAACCCGATCCCAAAATCCATTTTGAGTTTATCTTGAGAAACATTGACATGTGCCCTAACCAAAGCCAACTCTTCGCATTCCACCAATTTCTTTGATTTGTGGGAGTTTGTATAGTTGCATTTTTTCTCAACAACGGGTTGCAACTTCTCGTTGGCTCTTCTTCGTTTCTTTCGAGAACCGGGTCGTCACTAGAACTGTCAGTTTCTACGTTATGAGAATCATGAAACAGGAAATGCTTGGGTTGAGAATATTGGAATTGAGTTTCTAGAACCCTTTGAGAAAATTGTTTACTAGGATTATAACTCAGATTTTCCTCTGAAAGCCTAAATATGTTGTAAGATTGTTACACCGGGTAATAATGTTGTGGATAGTTTTGATATTGTTGATAGTTTGGATTTTGAAAGGTTGGGGGAGAAAATGGAATATCTTGACTTGAACCGTCTTGTATGGATTTGCATCTTTAGCTAGAACCGGTTTGTTTAGCTTTGTCCTGAAAATCCATTGAAGGCAACTGAATGAATTGAGCGAAGTATAAAATTTCTCATAAAAGGCATACTACAAATGAGTGAATTGTGTATTCATCTTTATAAACTTATAAAACAAAACAAAAAAAAAATAATAAATAAATAAATAATGGCACGCACTAATAAAGTTGTCAAAAACTAACTTTCATTAAATAAAAAAATAAAGTTGAGAGAATCAATTTTCTATGCATGCATATTAAATTGTTTGTCATTGAACCGTCAATAAGGTGACATGCATCTACAATACTCCCGAGTTCACCAACCTAATGTAATCCAATTAATACTTCAAACTGCTAAACCTGCGGTGCTAGGTGACGTAACCCGACGGGCCGGTACCGCCCTATCCCATTTCCAAACCGCATGACGACTCCGCGCCCCCTTACCGATCGTTCAAGATTCAATTATCGTACTCCATATGTTACAAGTCAAAGACTTGAAACTGCCTATTGGTTATCCTCTAAACATGATGACATCTATTGATTTGATGATCACCCGCCCACAAGGCTCTATTTCGGATAACTTCGTCATTAATTAATAGAGAGTTTCACCCACTCACTAAGTTGTTCTTCTAGACATGACTTGCACATCTTTGGCATGCAATTCGCTTGTGGCTAGTGGCGTTAACAGATAACATCTCTTGATTTAATTATAACTCTGGAAAACGGAAGATAACATCCTTGTACACACTTATATCTCTATAATTATAACATGGTTTTGCTCCAAAATGGACAGACATCAAATGACATTAAATGGTAGTTGGAAGTAGTTTTGGTGCCACAAGGGTATCAACACAAGGAAAAGGCATATCGATATGCAACATCCAACATAGTTGCACATTACAATCGTCCGACACCATTTGGGTCTTGAGGCTTGGGGCACTGTCCTTGACCCATAACCCCATATCAAATTAGCATATACAAATGTGCACTCCGCACCAAGCTTAATCTAATTATTTTTTGGCCTCATGTGGACATGAGTTATATCATATCAATTACGTCATTTTTGTATAAATTTAATCAAAGAATGCCCAAATGGCTAGTCTAAGGTTTTTTAAACAATCCTGTTTGTACCGATGCATGTCAAAAATAAGTCACCAATGATTGGAGAAACAATTGCTTCATTGAAGATGTTTCAAGGGTTTTGGAGAATTCACAAATGTCGCACTCTTGTCGAAACCTTGGAGCAAAAGAATTCGAATTGCTTCGATGCCAGTTTGAAAGGTGAAATCCAACTGCAAAACACAAGGTAGGGTTGTGTCAATGGGACAAAATTTTGCAACTTTTTCTCTCTCAAAATCTTGTGTCTAGGAAATATGTGAATGCTTTGAAATTAACTTAGAAAAGTTGTTTTATGTTACATACCTCCTCACTTTCTTGTTTGTTAAATCGTTTAAGAACATAAGCTGCAGCTTCCATCTTGCCTGGAGGCCTCCCAATACCTATAGACCGTTGACCAAGTCAATACCACATTAGAATTATAACTTTTTTTTTTTGTAGAAACCGGTCAAAATATGGTCAACAAACCTATTCTTAAACGGGGAAACTCACGGTTGCCTTTAAGGTGATTGATTATACTCTTCATCCTAACATAAATATCATCACGAATTCACCATCATCACAATTATTTACAACTCGTATGCTAAAAAGTTGAAAAAAATAACTAGGAAAATCATAATAAAAGAGTCCCAATTTGTGACATGGCAGTTACCCGTTGTGTCCCCCATGTCCACCTTTTGGTAATAGACGCAACTTTCCAAAAGGCAAATCCAAGTCATCATAAATCTAAAAGTGAAGCATTATTAGTTCAAAGCATTTAGAAAGGTGTTGATAAAAAAAAGAAAAGACAAATTAGACAGTTTACCACAAGTACTTGCTTTGGTGGAATCTTACAGAAAGAAACAATTGCTCCAACCTTTGAAAAAGGATCAAGAAGTTAATTGATTGTAGAAAACAAAAAGGAACATTTATAGCATCAGATTAGTATACATACAGACTCCCCGCTAACATTCATGAAAGTTTGTGGCTTGGCAAGCATCAATGGAGTATTTCCAATACACCCTAAAGAGAAAGAGAAACCAAATCCATTTTTTAAATCAGTAAATGAACATGTATCCACATAATAAGAAAAGAAACAGGGCTTTAGATGATGCATTCTTTGAGAATAATAATAAGTTAAAGGACCACAAACCTTTCCCAAAGAAAGCTTTGAAGGAAACATTGCTCATGGAGATACCTTCAGCCTCTGCTATTGCATCTACCATCTCAAAACCCACCTGCAATTACATAACTTTCATCAAATTTATATCAAAATAATCATAATGAATAGCTAATTTGGAACAAGAGGAGGGTTGTTGATGATTAGGGTTGAATAATTTGATAAGATTGGACAAATATGATGTAATTGACATGATTATGGTTTATGAACTTTTTGTTCATATATGTAATCACAAAATTGTGATAACCTAATGCCCTTTTCATCTATTTGCTATTATTCAAGATTTACAAAATCAGTTCTTATCATCTCTCTCAATCCCACCTTATCATTATTTCGCCCAAATCTGCCCTACTTCAGAGGAACTGAATTTGATCTCAATTCCTCAATGCAAACAATCTTCATATACTAATAATAAAAGTAACTAAATAGAGCGAGAGTACGAACATTGTGCCTTGTGCGGTTATACAATTTTCCAGGGTTTCCAAGACCTACAATCAGCCACGGTTGTTGCTTTGACGGCTTGATTTTCTCCTTAAACGTCTGTAGCCCTGCGGCAACCGACGATAATACAGTAGGCTCAATTTTGGTGGCGGATGCACCGCTATAAAGGGATGAAGACGAGGACGAGGAAGAGGACGAAGACGAAGACGAAGAAGAAGACGAAGGTGGTGATGAATTCATTGGCATGCTCCTCCAGACCCTCCTTTTCCAAGAAGATCGAATGTGGGTTTTATAAGATGAAGTAAAGGACGAGATGACAAATTGGTGACATCGATTGTAGTTGAAGAAGGTAGATGACGAAGATGATAGTATTCCAGTCGCAGTATTCATGGTGGTCGCCTCGCAGCACTTGCTGACGTTGTGTTGCTGTTCATATTGAGGCCGAGAAGCTGGGTGGAAGGGTAGGGGATATTGTTTCGTCCAGGAAGGAAACGGGCGGAATAGAGTTGGGCTGACCCGTAAATTTTCTATTGAAAAAAACGGATACGACTTTAAATAAGACTCCAAAGTCTAAAGTCCAAAGTCCAAACCAATTAGAGTTTTAACTTTTAATCAGGCTACCTGAGCCCATTTTAATCAAATTTATTGAATTTGAGTTCGAAATATAAAGAGTTCAAAACATATAATAATTTTTTTTTTTTTTAGCAGCAGCTTGACTGGTTAGAGATTAGTTTGAATACTCCAATTCATGTTCCCATTCTCCCAGAGGCTATGCCTGTACCAATTGGCAAAACATAAAATAAGTTGAACATATAAGAACTTCCATTTTGAAATCAGTATATTTTTATTTATAGTTTATAAACTACCTTATCAAGTTATTTCAAACAGTTTATAGTTTATAATTATAAGCTATGATAACTGTTTTATAATCTCACCAAACATTAAATTGCAATAAATTTAAATAATAGTATTACTTTCACAATTTGAATAATTATATATTTAGTAAAATAACATAATAATAGATTGTGAAGTCGTTTGCTACGAAATATGATCGCAAAGCATTATTTTTAAATTTTCTGTAATGAAAACCATTTATAAAACAATTTCACAAAAAATAATTATTTGTGAAGTTGTTTTTTTGTGAAATATATGATTACTTGGAAATAAATGTTCAAAAGATGGTTATAACTGTCATGGTTATCCTGTGATAGAAATAAATGGTTATTTTGTGATAGAACTTCATCAAACTTACTCATTTAACCAATAGAACTCAAATTGATTCATTAAGAAGTACTCGATCGAAATAATTGCCACTATCCTCAGCCGATACTTCATAGGGGTTGATTAATTTTGAATATAGCATGATGATAGCTCCAACAACACTTGAGTTATCAATAATGATATTATTACATGAAAAAATAAAATTACTTATACACCATACATAGAACTTGTCGAACACCCAACATTATGTTGAATCTTTAATTAACATACACATCCAAACACTATCTTTCACATCATGCTCTATCACTACAAATTATGTGATTATAGTTACTCATATTATATAATCATTTTCAAAACTCTCATCCAAGCGCCAATCTTGGTTCTGGATGACAATGAGTGAGGTATTTGATGGATTGCTTTTTGATATTTAATGATCAATTAATTCACTTTTATATTGACAATGAATATCAAACCTATAAACAATAACGAAGTCAAAAGTGCCACGTCATCAAAACCCTTTAAATTCCCTATTATTATTATTATCCATAACTACTGGTTTAAAATCCTCGATACCAACATACAGACCTAGCTAAAATGACACTCATATATTACAAAGCTTGAAGCTTTCTTTCACACATAGAAATTGGCACCCCAGGTGTTAAACCGCCATTAAAGCCTGCAATTCCGCCGTACTATTGTTCAAAAGCTGCATTCCCTCTTCACCCATCTTCCTAACTTCACAAGGCGACAGAATCCTGATACATCGCACACATCCCACAAATTCCCTGCATTTACACCTTATCCATATTAGAACTATAAGTCTATAAGGGTTAAATATCACTTATATGACCCTTCATCTTTTTCACATAAATTCAGTATCTCAAATACAGCTAAAATCAACTTACTCCCATGGATCATCTCCAACTAGAAGAACATCGTTCTCAAAATCCACATACACCAACTTCCATCCAGAATATACTGCATCTTTTAGCAGCCCCTCAAGCCCAAACATCCTCTCGATCTCAGAACGTAATTCATCATAGTTTTTGAAACCCGAAACATCAATCGATCTTCCCACTGATCCCGCCTTCTGAATCTGCAGATAACACAAGAAACTTAGGGTTTATGATTTAGAGTTTAGGGAAGTCTATAGGAATGGAAAATTCTGACCTTTGTATAAGTTCTTACACGCGGAGGCGGGCCCACTTGTTTCCATGAGCCCGTCTGCACGAGTCCCGTGTCAAACTCTCCGTTTCCAGGCGAGGTCCCGCCCGAGTGGTCGGGCAGCTCTTGCCCGGAGTATGCCCGAGAATCAACGAGGCTAGATGATGTGAACTGTGACTGAACATCTTGGCTCGGGCTAAATTTGTTGTTGACTATATAACTTGAAGGATCTTCGAAATCATCATCTTTTAAATTGCAAAACTCATCCAACACTGCACTCGAAACCGGATCAACATTCACATTGCCCGTGTTACTGCCCTCAAAATTAAGACAATTATAAACATCATCACACGGGTCCCACTTTTCCTGCCCCAGGTCAGAAAAACCGTTATTCGATGTGTTATTCTCTTGGCCCGGGAATACCCCACTAAGAGACGGATCAGACTGAGGGTCGAGAGGCGACAACTGGCTAACAACCGGAAGCTCGTTTACAACATTTTGAGGAATAATAACAGTCTGCAGTTTGCCCGACTCTTGGATTACGGGCAAACTGCAGCCCGTTAACGTGTTAACACTGTGGGGTTTTGTTAATGTCTTTAGGAGGTGTTCTGACCATAGGTTAGATAATGATGGGTTCATAAAGTTTCCATTTATAGGTTCGGTAGCCCGAATAAACGGATGGGCTACCATATTGTCCCATTCGGTTTGGGCTTCATAGAAGCCCAAACCGAATGGGCGTTTAAGGGTTGATGTGAGCGAAGGGAAAATGAATAGATTTTCAGGGCTTTCGAGTTCCCACGGGCTCACTCGGGCCCGCTTATCACCACACCCGGGCTCATCCCACTCCACCTGAAGATTGTGCCACTTTGACCCGGGCCACCTTAACGGGTCAACATCACTTATGCCAGTAATTGTACCCATATACCTTCTTTTTCCGGATTCCTCGGTTTCAAACATCATTCCGCACCTCATACCTATGGAAAGCTGGATTCCGTACACCGACTTCCGGAATTTCGCCAATGGAATGACAAATTCCGACGGACACGCCCTAAAATAACAATGGAGATACAGAAATGCTTAGGGTCAGAGATACAATTACGGAATTACCCTTTTGTGTTTAATAGTTATACATATTGACGTACCTTGGATTATAGAATACTGTAAATGGGCTTCGATTAGCAGCGGCATGAGCTGCAGCAGCAAGAACTCCTATATGCATGCTATCAGCTGATAAAACCGATGATGATGAAGCTGTTTGTTGACGATTTGCACGCCTCACACCCAATAATAATTGCGATCTTTCATCCCTATCAAAATTACATGTACAAGATACATTACAATGTCGGCAAAAAGACCTAGAAAGTTCGTGTTTTGTTTTAGGGGTGTTTAAATGGCCATTGAAGCATCAATCGGCTCTCACCTGACAAATAGAACAGCGTCGCCTGCTTTCAGCCGTTTTGCACCGACAAACATACTCCAACCCGTAGTCAAAAGGTGTCGCTTTGGTTGCCCTGTGTAAAAGAAGAAAACAGACAAATTTTTTTGGTAACTAATGTCGCATATCGTTGCTGAAATTGGAATTAGGGTTTGTTTACAAGTCTCACCACGATATATATGACGGAATGTCCATGTATTATCATGCAAATCTCGAACAACAAGCTCTTGTGTCGGAGGTTGCATTGAAAAATCCTGGAAAATCAAATATGATTCAATCAAGAATTGTAACTATGATCTTGTGTCAAGAACTAAATAAAATCTCACCAATTGTGGGAAGAGCTTTTCTGCTGCTCTACGAGGTACAGAGAATCCACCATGTGTGCTTGTATCACTCGGAGTCAAAGTCTTGCAGAAGAACTCACTTGGATGTTTGCTTGGCTTCATTCCAATATCTGGTATGGGAAAAACATCTTTTTCCTGAATTGTAAATGTATCAACCAAGGCATTGATCAAACACAAGATTTTAGTTTTGCAAAAATTACAACGGTTTAATGCAAGAAATAGCAGTGTATTTTCATTCATTTATTTGTTATAGCATACCATTGGGTAGGTTCTTAAAATTATAATGTTCTAATAAGAGAGAACTGAAAGTACAATGCTATAATTAGGTTGACTTTTCAAAGTACAACGCCCTTATAAGAAAATTATTGAAAGTAAAATGCTGTAAAAGAACGAAATGCACGTAGGATGCTATAATACACAAATAATGAAATAAATGAAAGTACAATGCTATAATTAGTAGATTTTTCAAAGTGCAATGTCTTAATAAGAAAAATATCGAAAGTACAATAGTGTAATAAAAAGAAACGAATGTAGGATGCGATACTACACAAATAAGTAAAAGTACATTGCTATTTATTACATTTATCCCGAATTACAAAAAACTTACTGAGTTCAAAGGTTGAAGGCTGATTTGTGCATAGATCTCATCGGTATCTTTGTCTGTCTATTCAAATAAAAAGAAAATTAAGAGCCAAGAAAATGGACAAAAAAAGCAAACAAGCACTTTTTTTTTTTAATAAATTTAGATGAAACACATCATACATGTAGGGTTGTGTTTTGAACTTGGCATAACAACTGTGAAGGAAGATTCGGGTAGTTTGGAACTTGTGTTGTTGCAGTTCTATTCGTCGTGGCTGCCACCTAATAAGCCAAATTTGAGCATGAGTTAGTAGACAAAGTAACATGTGACATGTCTTCATTTTGTGGGTTCCGCTTCGACCAATGAGGAATTAATGCAAATAGTTGTTATAAACATGAGCATCATATATGAAATATCTTGAAATAGAAGAATTGACCTATAATGAAACTCATTTATACACATGTCCAGTTACAATGTTGATGAATGATTGTGACTTTAGTTTCTAGCAAATGGTAACCTACTTTTCCTAAGATTATCTAATTATTTATGGGTAAAAAATTAAAAATAACCTACATTCTTAAATAACCATGATTTGGTAAATACTAAATAGTAAATACAATTTCAAGCAAATTAAGTAAAGTGATGAAAAACGAAAACAAAACCAAACCTGTTCAATGTGTCCTTGTGGGAAATAATAAACAAGGCTTCCAAGTTGGGGTAAATTTACCAATGGCCCAGCACATGCATGCCATAGCTCTGAATTTATTGACTTCTTTTTCCCTACAAAACAAAAATATTAACTCTCCCTTTCTCTCTCCCCCACTAATTAATGTCATCACGTAGACCCAAAACAAAAAACCTAACAACTATCAGAATTGACCAAAACATCAAATCTTTGTGGAACCCTTTATATTATAGGGTTTTTGTCTTTTGATACAAGATAAAAGTGTAAAATTTGACCACATTATAACTAAAAAAAGTAGTTAGGTCATCTCAAGTCTCATCATTTTTACACCAAAATGGTGTAGAGTATAATTTTGGCGTTAACTTTCGTTAACACTTTGGTTCTTCAAGTTTGAGCTTTTGTACTTTTAGTTACTTTAATTGTATAGTTAGATTTTAAATCTAGTATATGTTACTTATAGTAAGTTTTATGATATAGCTTATAAAGTTATTGTAATAAAAAAATTTGTCTAAAGATAGTAAATAGAAGAATGTACTTTGGAACTTGGAATATTGATATTAATTAATCATATATATTAAGTTTAATAATATAATTCTTAAAGTTAGTGTGATAAAAATTTGTCAAAAGATATTAAATATATGAATTTTTTGGTGTAAAAAAAGGTGTAATGGGTTCGAGATGAATTACTATTTACATCAAATACTATATTTTTGTGCAAAAAATAGTGTTAAGTGTAATTATGGAAGCAAAAAGAAGTAGCAAAGCAAGTGTTCTTGAACACCTAAAAATGTTATTCCAACATTAACAATTTGAGCATAATTTACTTTAAAAAACTCAAAGATTTTGCTAAAAAGTTAAAAGAAACTAACCACAATGATCCTGCATTTCCTTCAACAAATTCATATCCTCAAGTAAACTGTAAGCCCCGGTCTTCTCTTCAATGATACTCATATTACAGTGTGAAAGGACTCTTCAATAATCATCTAATAAAGATCTCATTGACTCCTCCACAAGGGCATAATCGACCAAAACCCAACTAAATTTTCACCCAAAAAACAAAGAACCCCACATTAGATTCTAGCTTCTTGAACAAACCCATTTGCAAAAAACCACTCATTTGATAGAGACAAACGAAAGAAAACAAAATTTTTCGATAATTGAGTGTCGAATTAGGGGGCAAACTCAGTCACACAGAACAGAATATAAAGAACAATCGAATAGAAAAAGAGGACATGCCCTAAAAATCCAAAACCAAAGAACAAAACCTGCAAAATCTATGTGGGGCTCCCTTCGTTAATCAAAAACAGCAATGGCATAAAGGAAAAACGAAGAAAAAGAAGGCTGTTTTCTGTGTCAAAGCACGCCTATCAAAGCATAAGAGTGCTCTGTTTATTGAGTGCTACCTTTTATAAAAATAAATAAATATATGTATATACCATAATACATCTTCATATAGGGTCCTCCATGAAAAACAAATCACCTTTCTGTGAAAGTGGTCATAATACTACTGATTTCATTCTTTCTCTCACTCCACGTACAAACAAAACTTTCTCTCTCTTTCAATTTCTCGTCAACTCTTTCTTTGTGCATTACAAATATAGAAATTGGGGGAATAGACTTTCAATCTGCTCTCATACGCAGTTTTCAGCTTTGTGGGCGATGGCATTTGCAGCTTCAAAGTGTGATTTAAAAGAGATTCCTTATATTTTAATCAGCAGATGAAAGCATTTGCAGAGGTTGAGTATGGATACACGAAAACGAAGTCATACATTGAAGGTCGAGATAATGTATTTTAAAATATATTTAGCACCGAATATTGTACTTTCGTTTAAATAATAGGGTTGGCCGAAGATAAAAAGATAAAAACTGCAGTTCTTATCAAAATATGATAAAAATATATAGTTGATTTTCTTATATGATCAGTCTATTTTATTTAATATAAGATATAAGATAAGAATAAAAATAAGAATATGATATCCTGTTATAGATTACTTTTCGTTTTAATCGACGAGTTTGTAAGACTTTTAGTTTTTATCTTTTAGTATTTTAAAAAAATCAAATTAAAAAAATATTTGGAAAACAAACTTAAAACTTTTATTTGAACCAAAAAGTCCTCACATAGCTTTTACCTTTTCGTTTTTATGTTTTAAATTCTTTTGTCTTTAAATACCTTACAGTTTTTTATGAGAAAAATTATATAGAATTAACAGTTTTATGAGCTAGTTTTGTCTGTCAAACATACAGTCAAACAGTCTGAATAGTATCACATCATACTTAACCTTTTATCAGACAAAATAAAAGACGTATAGTTTAGGTATAAAATTTAAATGTAGACGATGAAAAAAAGAAGTTGTTTGTTAACTAACTCATGTCAAATATCAACTTATTAAAATGTTAGAACTGGTGGAAGTTCGCCTGCCTTTGGGCCGTGTGCAGCATACCAAACGGTGGGGCCGCCAGCATATTGCATATACCCATTTTGCAAGATCCAACGGCGGATAGAGGTGATCCAGATTAGCAAGCTAACATGGAAGACTTTGAACTTTCGGCTTTTTTTTATGTTGAAGTTTTATAATTATACAGTTAATATAATAAAATATAGTGATCCATAGATAATAATTTTTGTATGCATAATAATTTATATTTTATGAAGTTGTACGGTACAAATATATAAAACACAAATAAAATGATTTACATAAACTTCATAAATCAATTGAACTACTAAACTAGATATTAGAAAAATGAAACATATGTCGTTTACGAAAAAGTCAATAAGACATTTCATTATTTAATATGGCGTTCAATTTTTTCTTCTTTTTTAATGGCAACTTGTGTCAACAAAGCCCCTTCTCATATAATAATAACTAGGAAAAGGCCCGTGCGTTGCACGGGTGAAAGTTTAGTGACAAAAATATAAAGAAATACAAATAAAGTGCGAAAATTATAAAGATGAAAAGTTTGTTGAAACTTTAGTGGCAAAATTAGTAAAAATAAAGTACCAAAACTATAAAGAATAGAAGTTTGTTGAAACTTTAGTGACAAAATTATAAAAAAGTAAAAATAAATTCGTAAATTATAAAAGAATAAAGAAAAAGGGTTTTAAAGAAGTAAAAGTGAATGTTTAGTAGCAAAAATATGAAGAAGTAAAAATAAAGGGCAAAATTATAAAAAAGAAAATGTTTGTTGAAACTTTAGTGACAAAATTAAGAAAAAATAAAAAATATAATGTTAAAAAATTATAAACATTGAAAGTTTCCTGTTGAAACTTCCCATGTGTTTTAATATATATATATATATATATATATATATATATATATATATATATATATATATATAATTAAATTTATTATTATTATAATTATTATTATTATTATTTTACATCATAACAATTAAATTTTATTGTCTAAATAAAATTATTTTTATTCTAATTATATGCTTATAAATTGGTCAATAACCAATTTTTAATAATTTTTCATAGATCCAACAAAATTATATATATATATATATATATATATATATATATATATATATATATATATATATATATATATATAAAAGGTTCATTTGAGACAATGTTAATTTTATAAAACATGAGCACGCGATCATAGACATTCATCTCGGAGATAAAAAAAACAAAAAAAATATAAATTGCAAAATAAATGAAAAATCCAAAAATTCTTTTTTAAAATATTATTTTCGTTATTTATTTTATCCAAGAAATATTAAAAAAGTAATAAATAAATAAATAACATCATTGTTTTTTTTTTTGAAATATAAGTGAAATATTCAAATAGAATATTACACTGTAAATAATCAAATCGAATTTTTAGAATGTTAGAATATTCTAATATTCTACTAAAATTGGTAAATATGTTAAAATATTCTAATATTCTATTTAAATTGTTAGATTTGTTAAAATATTCTAATATTCTATTAGAATTTTTAGAATATTTATATTTTAATATTCTACTAGAATGTTCTAACATTCTAAAAATTCGATTTGAATATTTACAATATAATATTCTATTAGAATATTTCACGTATATTTTGAAAAAAAACGGTAATTTTTTTGGATAAAATAAATGACGAAAATAATATTTAAAAAAAATCGAAAATTTTCATTTATTTTTCATTTTAAAAATATATATTTTTTTAATATCCAATATATATATATATATATATATATATATATATATATATATATATATATATATATATATATAGAGAGAGAGAGAGAGAGAGAGAGAGGTAAGTTCAATTGAGAAAATAAAAAATGTTGAGAATATGAGAATCATTCTCAGCTACTCAATTTTTTTTGCCGCAAAAGCATCCATTGTACCGGCGGAAATGGAAAAGTAATACACGTGTGTTTTCCAATAAATTAAACTATGTTAATTATTACCTTAATATATACAAAAATATAGTTTTTTTTTTCATTTTTTTTTAATTTTTAAGGAGCTTTTATATCGAAAAATGATTTTAAATATATCAAAATTCATAATTTTTTATTCTCTATAAATTGACATCTATATTGATATAGTTTTAAGATAAAATAAAAATTTTATTTTTTTATAGTTTCAACTATCGTTATTCATAAGTGAATAAAAATGACTCATATTTTTACTGCAGTACATTCGTTATTCACTTATGAATAAAAAATATGATTAATTTTTTTTTACAGTTTAAGTATCATTTATATATGAATATAACATAGTAATAAACTTTTTTACAGTTTACATCAAATCTCGTCACATGTTATATTCACATATGAATAAAATGTGTATTAACTTTGTTCACAAGTTATATTCATCAAGGTTGTAAAAATCGTTCGACGGTAGCTCGACAGTCGATTGGTGTTAAGGGATTAATCGGTATTGGCGGGGATTAATCGTGGATTAATTGGAGACCATAGATCATTAATAAAATATTAAAATTAATCAAATATTAATATATCTTAAGAAAAACAAGTACTTCAAAAATTAGAAAATAAGAAAATTTGTAATTTGAAAATTTGAAAATACGAAAATATGAACATTTTGGTAGAATATTTGAAAATTTGAAAATTTGAAAATTTTGGAGTAAAAAGAAAGTTGATTATTTTTAAATTTTTTTTTAATTTTTAAAATTTACCTTTTTGACTTCTTTTTTGACTTTTTCGATTTTTTTACTTTTGTTGACTTTTGTTGACCGATTAATCCCGCCAAGACCGATTAATCCCGCCAAACCCGATTAATCCTAAATTTTTGATTAATATCCTAATCCTCGACGGTTGGAGAACGCCAAGCGATTAATCCACGATTAATCACCGATTAATCCTGATTTCTACAACCATGATATTCATATACGAAGAACACATTTATCATAATTTTGTTACAGCTCATTTGTTATTCATATATGAATAAGTAGTTCAAATTCTCAAAACACTTCGTCTTTTATTAACATACTACTTATTCATATATGAATAACAAATTAACAGTAACAAAAATTTGATAAATGTTTTATTCATATATGGCCTGCAGAACGAGGGAGCTCGGGCCAGATTGGTACTGTCAAGGCGTGTGGAGGGCCTGAGTTCTTCGGGGACGTACAAGCTTTTGCCCCGAGGCGGCAAAGGTGGGGTTCACATCTTGTATGTTGAGGGATCGAGCAAGAGACTGGGGGAGCAGGTTACCCGCGAGATGGGATTAGAAGGTGTGGCTGAGATGAAATGGGAGGAGTTTGTGAGGAGGTTTGATCAGGAGTTTGCACCATCCATCGAGGTGCAACGTTTAGTGAGAGAGTTCCAGGATTTACAGCAGATTACCAAGACTGTGGCGGAGATCACCGCCAAGTTCCGGGAGAGGGCACTTTTGATTCCGCAGTACGCTGCAAATGAGGAGATGAAGAAGACGATGTATCATTCCATGCTGAGGGATGACATTCGGGAGTTTGTGAGCTTTTCGGGGTGTAATACCATGAATGAGATGGTGGAGAAGGCTCGGGAACGGGAAATTGAGTTGGAGCTCTGCACGAAGCGGAAGCCAGAGCAGGTTCAGGCAACAGTAGGTCAGGCCAAGAATCCTAAGACCTCCGATCCTCCCAACAGAGGCCAGTAGGGTCGTGGCCGTTGTGCCAAGTGTGGTAAACCGCACAGTGCAACCTGCCGAGCAGCAGGCTCAGCATGTGATGTGTGTGGCCAGCCGGGTTACATGAGCAGGGATTGCCCCAAGAAGGACTTGATTTGTTTCCACTGCAATCAGACCGGTCATAAAATGGCCGATTGTCCGAGGTTGGTTAGAGGAGGAGGATCAATGGCGGCGCCTGCGCCCGCCACGATAAGGATTATTGATGGCCACCCGATCAAGGAGGAAGCTCCTGCGTTAAAGAGTCGCACATTTCAGCTGACTACCGATGAGGCCCGAACAGGGCCGACCCTAGAGCATGGGCAAGCTGGGCGACCGCCCCGGGCCACGCCAAATCTTGGGGCCCCCGAAAATTATGATTTGTTTATATATACATATAGATTATATAAGATATAATATGCAACGAAAAACCAAAAGCAATATTGGTTGAGGTGGCTGACATCCATAAGTTTAGGTTTGTGAAGTCTCGTGTTCGATCCTTGTTTTGGTAATTTTTTTTTAACTTTTACTTATTAATCTATTAAAGGCTAAAGGCCCAAGAACGTATTCCAAGAGAGGACGCTTCGGTTTTACACAACTTCACACAACAATTTTCAAGAAGGCAAAGACTTAAAT